TTTTGTTCCATCTTTTTCTTAATATTACTCTTAGCAAATTCTTACATTGATAAAGATCTGCTTATTTCACCCTAAGGCAATTCAAAAGTTTTGTATGATAACTTTATTCTCACTGCCAACTATTATGAAAGGAATGCCCACTTTTCCCTGAGGGTGTGTTGTTGCATGCAGCATTCCCATTGGAATGCTCTTGAGAGGTTGAACTCATTTTCTGAGCAATTGTTTTTATAAATTCAGTATTTTGCTTCCAGTGCTCATGGCCAGATAGTGTATAACCTGGTCTCTACCCAGCATTATCCATGCTGTTTTCACACTTACCTCCAAGGGCCAAAGATTATCTCACAGAAGCTCCGAAAGGATTCCTGTTTCTGAAATTCATGTGTAAAAGGAAATTTTTAAAGGGAAGAGGGTGATAATTGAGTTCAAAGTCTGAAGAATTGTTGTCAAGGATTGTATTGATTAATAACAAAAGCTCTCTGGCATCTTCAGGCAGACATGTGAAAAAAGTAGTGATTGTAATTAATTTTTAGTGAGTGCATATTTGCTAATTGCTCTGATTCACGCTATTATATTCCTCTTCCTTCACCCACAGCAAAATAAGTTTAATTTGATTCATACCCTTAGGAAGAAAAAAAAAGCCTAGGATTACTCACATGGCTGTGATTCAGCTCTTGGCTCCCACCACCTCCTCCTCCTCCTCATCCTCCCTTTCTCCCACCCTGCCCACTCCCATATCACTCCCACCCCGTGGTGTTGCCATCAAAAAACTGAGTCAGTTTGTTCTTTAAAATGGGTGGGGAAAGAAGACAACTAATAAAAACTTTTCTGAGCGAAGTATACTGCTTAGATCTGAAATCATTGCAGGAAGACAGGCAAAGTGGCTCCTTATATAACATGAGAAGCTTGAAACACAGGCCAGCCCTCATAAAGAAATGTTCAGATTCTCTTACATAAGACTAGATTTAGCTTGTACGCATGTCTGTAGAGGCGTACACATAGGCGTGGAGGTAGGTTTCGATGAAAAATCTGTGATATTGGGGCTCTTACATATAATGTATACAGAAAGAAAGAATCTTGTTTTCAAAGTAGGATACTTTGCTAGAAGCAAAAAGTGAATATAGAAGCAATCCAAAGATTTTTGATCGCTGCAAAACATAGATTTGCCTTCAAATGAACCTGTGGCTTGGCAGCTTGAGGTTTTTGTTTGTTTGTTTGTTTTCGTTTTTCTTTTTTTGTGACAGTGTCTTGTTCTGTTGCCCAGGCTGGAGTGCAGTGGCACGACCACGGCTCACTGCAGCTTTGAACTCCTAGGCCCAAGTGATCTTCCCATCTCAGCTTCCAGAGCAACCGAGACTACAGGCACACACCACTATGCCTGGCTAGTGTTTTGTTTTGTTTTTTAATTTTTATTTTTTGTAGAGATGAGATCTGAATATGTTGCCCAGACTGTTCTCAAACTCCAAGCAATCCTCTCGCCTCGGCTTCCCAAAGTGTTGGGATTATAGGCGTGAGCCACTGCACTCAGCCACAAGGTTACGTTTTGTTTCTCTCCTGAGGAATTGTAAGATTAGTACTGGAGGTGACAGCTCACCTTTGCAGAGCTGATGGTGGCAGCAGACATTATTGAGGCAGCAATCTCTGTTCCTTGCTTGTATTTTTTCTCCTATTCCCATTCTTCAGATGAAGTGAAAGCCTTAGAGAAATGAAGGAACTCCTCTAAGTCCCCACAGGTAATAGCCTCAGACAGTATTAGAACCCAAGCTGTTTGACTCTCCCGACTTGTAACTTTGTTTTTTGGGAGTCTGACACAGTTGGGTCATTTGGTATTTTATAATTTGGGACAGGAGCGGCGGTGGACAGGAAGCTCCGTGCTGGGAGCTCCAAACCAGCCTTGAACTGAACCGTTGAAGCAGGTCTGTGTGCATCTTCAAACCAGCCTGCGACATGGAGGGGAACAGAACAGATCCTTCCCCCGTCACTCATTTGTAATCCCAACCACCCTCTCTTCATTTGACTGGCTTTCCCCCCATTATGTTACCATCTGTCTCCAAAACATTGCCTGGGTAAAGACAAGCTGGAGCAGTTGCTCGCCCTCAAACAAAACGCAGAACAGCTACTCCTCACCCCCATTCCACCCCGCCCCCCAACTAGTGCCGAGTACCACATATGAGGAATTCCATATTTATAAAGCTTGCCTGCGCCTCAACACTGTCTGCTTGCTGTCCTTTTTATTATTATTCAAATATGTGCTGACTGGAAACGATTAGCTTTTGTTACTGAGGGGTTTGTGGGATGCTTGAAACAGCTTCATATAGTTCTCAGATGGAAATGCGTGCTGTTTGCTCCTTTAAGAAATGAAATTTCTTAATGAAAGACAGCATAGACGAGAACGCATACTGAGGTTCCCCACCCAACTCTCTGGGTTTCTCTTAGGGTAATTGTGGTAGGGTTTTATGTCATGGCCCTGTGGAGCGAATAAACAGTGACTCTCCGGTATACTTTTTTTCTGGGTCTGTACCCACCTCTTAATGCCTCTGAGTAGGGGCCCTTGTTAATGTCAAGGGCAGTGCTCTGTCCCCAACAGAGCTGTAGTGTTGCCGCCAGCTCTGATCCCCTCACCTCCTTTTCCTGGCTGTTGACACTTCCAATATCCTGACACATCTGGGCAGACTGGAATCGGAGTTCTTAAATGCCCTCTCTGGCTGGTCCCAGCTCGATTCTGCACTGGCCTTAGGAGGCTCCAGGAAGTTTGGCGAGGAAAGACCCCCAACAGATCTCAGATGTAAAACTGGATGAGTGTTTCAACTGCTGAAAGTTTGGGAGGAAATTATGGAATCGTTACATGTTTGTCAACATTAGTAAAGTAGTTAAGAGTGATTCTTTTTTAAAAAAAGCTATGGAATCCTATTTTTTTTTTTTTTTTTTTTTTTTTTT